GTCAGATATAAACAATTTGCTCTGCAACACTCTTCAACCGGTCTATGATATAACCAGTATTTTAACCCAGCATGTTAGCCTGTGCGGCATCAGTCTACATCTGGTAGACCCACGCTATTTACACAAATGTTTCCATTTCCCTCGTAAATCCCAGGTGCAAATCTCAGGCTCCTGTGCTTAGCTTCTCTGTGCAGATATCATATACTGGCTGTTGCGAATCTTTTAATCAGACTATGGTGTTAAATATGTATCAGCATCACCTTTACATATTTTTTGTTGAATTTATTCAATTGTTGGGGTAGTTTTGATGTTGCATTTTAATATACTCATGATACTGTAGGATCATTTATTAATGCTGTTTAAGAATTTCATGAACTTCATAGTACTTACAAGCTTTTCAATACTTTGGTTATCTAATTCTTATATATCCCTGGTTTCACAAAGAAAAAGGGGGCTGCTTAACCATCATAAAAACTTACTTCAGCTAGTAAAATAAATATAATCTAATTAATAAATGTAAAAAAATGTAAAAAGCTTTGAAATAAATATTCATCAATTGCATGAAAATTTAACAGGTACTAGTATATATTTGATGATTTTGAAAATCATTTTACACTGTATGCCCACACCATGTAGAATTTTTCCTCTGATGTGAGACTGAGCCATGGTACCATCATGACTGTAGCTCTGTTTGAAATTTATGTCTGCATTTATGAATATGTAAAGGCACATCTCATGCATTTCATGTCTTCAGTCTTGGAAGATATAAATGCATGCATTTCACCTTGATTCTACCATAATTTTTTTTCTTATAGTCAAAATTTACCAATACGTCCATCAACATACTTTTTTCCAGCTGTACGAGTACATAATAATGCAAGAATTTATACTTGTATTGTACTGACAACTAGAAACTCAGACACAAACATTTGTAGATTGCTATGGCCATACAGCAAGGACATTATCTGTAAATAAAAGCAACAATATCAGTGAAGAAGCCGTATATATAAAATCTCATTTGCAAGCCTACAAAATCCAGCAGGAAATGGACTTGACTAAGGAGGTTTTGATAGGGCTTTATACAGTTACAAACCTCAAAGTAAACCATATAACTGTGCAGTGCACCCACACATATTGGTGGAATCATCATTCTTTCATTCAATCATTTTCTTGTTGTGCTTTCTTCTTTCCTTCCTCTTTTTCTTACAGGCATGTATCATATGCCACCCCCCCCCCCCCAAACATTTATAAGAGCATTTACCAATCACTTTAATTAAAAGCAGTGTTTCTAAACATGTGTAGATAATGACTACCAGTTTATCTCATAGCATCTATATATAATACAATAAATTTAAATTTTACTAACTTCAACTTCAAATAACTTCAACTTCAATTAACACAATATTGTATTTTTTAATTTTACCAACTTTAAATCTTTCTTTTTTTCTTCAATTAAGTCTAATCTTCTCTAAGGAACATAAAGCCTCTTCTAATCATCCTCAGCCAAGTAGTTTGGTAGACACATGGAAGCTGATGCCACTCTTGATTAATTGTTTTCAGGTACAAAAATTGCCACCAGAAACATTCCTAATGTAGATGGGCATTAGCACGGGGCTCTTTTTCTACCCTAAAGGCAGGGAAGTCTGAAACCCTGGCAGTGAACCTTATATTTATAAGTCTAAATGAGATACATGTGGTTCTTCTGTTTAAATGCTAGGCACAAATTAAAAGATAAAACATGCACTGCTATATGCAGTGCATTTAATTGTTATATGCATCACTTTAAAATATGGCAGTTCTGTGTCCACAGACTCAAACCAATACCTTATTCTTTTATTGTACACAATTTGCTACTAAATTTGAAGATAAATTTTAAAACATTTTAGCAAATGAATGACAACTAGACTAGAGGTAATTTTATGATCTCATATAAATACCCAGGAGTTTATTATCTAGAATGAAAAACACCACCACAAGAGGTTTTACACAGTATGTGAAATCTGAAACAAGCATTGAAAAATCTTTAAGCATACACATGTATATTTCATAAAAGGATCAGACCATTCTCAAATAAACATCCAAACCATGTGATTAAAAAAAATAAAAAATACTTTTAGATTTTCATTTCACTTGGGTCTTGAGTAGCCAGTATTCCTTATGTCTTCATGTATGAACAAACGAAATCAATCAACATTGCCTGTATGACACTAATATGCAGAAAGTGTATCAAAATCAATTACATGGAGACTATACTTCAGTCATATCACACACACAAGGGCAAGGATGAAAAGGCAATTGCATATTTGGTTTTTTATCCTGACATCCTACGGAATTAGACTAATAATGTGATGGTAATATCTATTAAGCTCTCCAAAAATGATCAATGTTTTAAAGAATACACACAAGAAAGAATGAGCCAGAGATATATAATCCAAACTTAAAGGGATGACAACTCTTCACATGGGATTCAAAATTCCACAATCAAAACAATGTGAGCAATTCATAAAAATGTAACAAATTGGCAGTTTCAATCATAATATTCGGATATTGTGAGATATAATGGGTCGTCATTGATTGCTACCCTTAGATCCTAAAAACATGCTCTTTTTTTTAAACCAATCAATTAACTTTGAATGTCAGAAGGGATTCATTAACTATTGGTAATTATGAGGAAACTGTTGTTTACCCCAGGAAAATTCCCTTTATGGCACTTATGGCACTTTTCCTCGCTAAAATGAAGAGTTGTGGTCTCTTAAAGTGTTCTAGGAGGTTGGCAAGCTGGTTGCATGGCAGCAGTGTCAGACTCGCTGTGCCAATTGCAGGCCTTCAGGTCCTGTACTTCAGCTTTTGGCCAACAGAAGGTTGTACACATTTCTACTTCAAGCTTTCTTTGCAAGTAGATAGTAGTAAAATAGTAATGTCGCTTTTATCTGTGACTTGGCTCCAAAGAGCCAAAGAGCAACTAGAGAAACTTACATCAGAGAAATGCCTAGATTCCTGTTGGTCATGGTACTTAGCAACCAAGCATTTTGTATCCTTTAATAACATAAAATTGCCTTTCATTTGTGCACGGATGGGTACTACATACATTGTGTTGGGAAGTCTCACAGACTTTTAACAATAATACTTCACATTGTGTTCTGGTTGTCATGATAAGCAATGAAGAAGAAACAGTAACAGCATCGTAGAACAGTCAAGTTTTTTTTTTATTGGACATATATTTTATAGCTGTGTAACCTGGTAAAGCCTTAGTTGAAGCAAATCAAATAGTTGCTCTACATTCCAATGTAAAAAATACCATTTAAAGAACATGTACTTTTACAAGCAACTCAAAGATTTCTGGCATCTGCCAATGGTTGTTCCTCAAATTTCCCAGCTGGTTATCAGATAGTTAATTGATCATCATTTCAAAATCCTTATCTGTATTCACAAAGGTACTTGTACTTAACTCTGAAAAATGGATAAAAATAAATCACCCTGTGTTCAACCTCAATGTACATTCTTACCATGGGAATTTACCAGTGCACAGATATATCAAAGTATACCTCAAATTTCCCTGCTGACAAATGAGGATCCAAGGCAAAAGCGATACCAGGTAAACAGACAGACACACATGCTAGGCCTTGGAGGATAACCTCTCTGCCAAAATGACATTTGAGGTTCCCAATGAAGTTTTATCTTTTTTATTAAGCAGATCTGTCTAAGTTGCCAAGTTCGGCTACCACTGAGGTGGAACTGGCGATCTCTGATAAAAGAACACCTTGAGAAAGTCAAAACCATCACACGCATATTGATTTATCTTTAACACAGGGGTAACTTCCTCCTAAAATGTCTGCTAGCTGTGCACTTTTAAAATCTGGGTAATAACTTCCACTACAGTTTATATGAACATAAACATTACTGGACGCTGTGGTTTAACTCCAAACACTATATAAATACAGCAATGTATCAATTTAAAATGTATCAGCCACAAGTAGGGCTAACCTGAGATGTTAGTAATTGAACTGTTGCCTCCAATTTTTAACATGAATATTGGTAAACAAGTACCTGCTTTACTCAGACTGTTAAAGGAATATTAAAACATATGAGTAAAACATTGGAATTTAACATGGTTGATCTGTTCCACTTACATTGCTTATTTGAAGAGATGGGGACAGAGTTTCTAAAAAAGAAATCAATGTGTGTGAGTGTGGGTGGGAATTAATGTGCAACAGCACAAATGAAAAAGACTTGTAAAAATAATTAAATTTACAATTTAATAAAATAATCACTGTATATTCTGGTCATTCTAAATAAGTGTATAATATTAATAAGAGTGCCATGTGTTTTGCTGTAAGTGAACAAATTATGGGAAGAGGCAGTGGAGCATACATATATATCACTGTAAGTTCAATTGACCTTAACAAGTTAAATGTCTTTGGCTTAATGTAGAATACACATTAAAATAATGAATGATAGAGAAATTCTCTGGACTACTAGGCTGAGACATATGATAAGTTAGATACCTTGAAACATACAGAAACACTAAAACAGTCAATTCTCTTATAAATCATACAATATTGATTGATCATTAAAGTAAACTGTACATATGAATCAAATAAAACTTAAGAATGAAAATAAATATATATAGCTCTTTAAAAAATCCAAAACACTAATGCAAAGTATTAATTATTGTCACATCTGTTTTGGATTAATGGTTAAAATAAACCATCTATGTTCAAAATACAATGGTGCATGGAATTCCACTCAAAAAATATAATCAATTTAATTGTTAAAATACCTTTTTTCTAACATTTAACATTTTTATAGTTAAAAAGGGGGTTCACAACTAATTGAAAATATATATATATATATATATATATATATATATATATATATATATATATATATATATATATATATAATACCCAAATACTGTCATAACCAATATTATGTCAAACTTAACAAATTAACACATCTAACACAATATCACATCATTAATATACTAGTATATAACTTACCATGAAATTCGGCTCGAGAGTAACCACGGACAATGTACTTGGATTCCCTGTCTTTGTTCGGGTCATGGACTTTGATAAGAATATACTTAAACTTCCCCTGGTCTATATCCACATCTGCCACAGCATCCAGCTTTGCATTGCCTGTCTTTACAGTCCCAGGCATGTTCTTGAAGGAGTGATTCTGACCCAGCGCTGCAAATTAAGATCACACAAAGTGATCAACAATTAAAAACAAAAATAGTTAATATATAATATGGAGATATGATTATCTTCCCTTGGTTAAATCAGCTGCCAGAGCAAAAGACAGCTGTAAGATGAGTTATCACTTGAATTCCTCCTGAAAGCTCAACTCCTCTTTCCACTGCAGATCACGATGGAACAACGTTAAGTACATGAATCAGCGATTGACAAGAACTAGCGAACCCCACGAAAAAGGAAAAAAAGGAATGTATTTAAATTGATAAATCCACTGTTCCTACATTTGACATGCCAAGTGGGTTCTTCTTACTGACGAAGCATGAACTCTTTGAAACTGAGTGACTAATGTGGAGCACCACCATATAAGCATTTATGAGGGAGATGCAACGAACAACGCGCTAACTGATTGCATGGGATGAGACTGACAAAAGGCCTGGCAGAAACTGAACCACCGAGGCGGTTGTGTTTTGACCTTTAGAGAAGCCTAACACGGCGTTTCAGCAATTTTAACCTCACTAATATGACCCTAAAACAATCGGTTAAACAAACATCTAAGAGCATATGGAATCACTCAACATGCATCCGTATCATGTGAAGATTTACCTGGCTGACTTATCGTGTTCTACGCCTTTGGTTATTCCCCAAAACGAGGCTCAAGGGGAATCCCATCAAAATTGAGGGTTACGAACTCTCTGATTGGCTGGTGTGGTGCAGGATGAGAAAAATGGCGGCGCCCACAAAGAAGCATGAAATTTTAATTCTACTGTTATTTTCAGCTTTTTCAGGATATAACCAGGAAAGTAATGCTGACGATGGCCCACAAAATAATAAAGAAGGTAATTTGACTCTCTTTCTATACTTCCTGTAGCATTCTTACTCGTTTTCTGCTTTCTTCTGGTTTCACTAGACTGCAACTAGGAACCATAACTCTACAATGAACATGCAGGTACTGTACATGTAGGCATAGTTTTATGCATTAGCATGTCTGTTTACGTTTTCTGATATGTGCTGTTTGCGCAAACAGTACACATTAGAAACCATATATAGGAGAGCAAATCTATGAAATTTTGTGCAACTGCAACCAGTGCCAGCTTGAGCTGTTGAGTTACATGTACTGAGCACTGTAGGTGTGATGTCCAGGTAACATTGGTTTTCAGACAGGTGGCATCCACAGTGGCACTCTAGAGAAAACTTCCCTGACCAACCATTGCAGTTAGTGAGGCCAGGACAAGATCATAAGACACTGGAGGTAGTTGAGGAAAACTTCAAGGTTAGTACAGTACACAAGTTACTTGTTATAGGAACAGATACACCATTAACATATGAAATTATTTTCACCCTGTGTCATATGTGATCCAGCTACCAAGCCAATGAACATTTATATCCAGATACACTGTAGTTTGATAAATTGATCCCCAACACACCTTTATAATTGATTATATAAAAACTCAGTATTGTGATACAGTACAAATGAAATAAGTTAAGTGAAAACAGCAATTACCAAATGCCTACATGTTTACCTGCAACTCTTGATTGATGTTGTTCACTGCTGTGGTCACATCTACCAATACTGTATTGCAATTGTTTACTTGAAGTGTGATGATCTTTCAGATGTTACAACGGATTGAGGGGTCAGTTGCTACGGTTGCAGTTGTTGGCAAATTTCATACTGGGAAATCTTTCCTTTTGAACCAACTGATGGGAAAATCCAATGGCTTTGGTGTAGGACCATATGTTACTCCACAGACTATGGGGATCTGGATGTGGGGAAAGGTGCCTTAAGATTTTTTAATCCTTGTTCTGTAATTATGTATAATTACCATCAGTTAAGTGTTAACTGATAATAAGGTTATTTTTGATCTATACATATGTATCAGTTCTTTATTTTTCCTTTATTTATTATTTTTCCAGCCACTAGAAATAACCAAAGAGGATGGACAGAAGCTCTCTCTAATATTTTTGGATACTGAGGGATTTGCTGCCAACAATGTCTCAGAGAATTATGATGCCAAAGTATTTGCTGTGGCAACTCTACTCAGCAGCTATCTAGTATACAACTCTGTGAAGATCATTGATCAGTCTGATATTGACTATCTGGAACTGCTGGCCAGAAGAACACAGGTACACCAAGATATAACTAAGCCAATGTCACTTCAAACAGCTGGTGATTAACAGTGCCTACCTGGATTAACAAACAGCATTTATTAGTCGATTCCAGTAAACTATGGTACATTTATCTTCAACTCTCTGTTTTAAATCTCTGACAAGTAGAATTTTATGCACCAGACCACATCCTCAATTTCTATACCTGAACTGAGATATACACATTTAAGAGAGGGATTTGTTTCAGCTTTTTGCCTTAGGGGCACAGTTGTCAAAGACCAAATGGACTGATGATTTCAACCATGATTTGCTTAGTTTTCCTCCATTACTTTGGGTGAGTGTTTTTAAGTGTTTTTAATATTGTATCTTACAGATTATCCGTAGTTTGCATATAAGTCTTTGCTTAGTATCAATAAAATAAGACCTGCTTGTGTTGTCTTATTTTGTCACTCGAAGTTTTCAGTGTATTTCAAAACATTTGTTACATATTTGATTAGAAATAAGGTCAATTACATGTTTCTCAAATTTTGTTAGGTGCTGAATATATAGCTACCTTCTTATTAGAGAATGCATTTTGCCAAATGATGTGGATTTTTTATTGTTAAAAAAAAACATATTGTATTGTTATGGTCTGTGTTCTAGGTTGTTCAAGATTTTTTTCAAGTAACAGAGAATAAGGAAAGTCCAAAAGAATGGCTCCATCGTCTTATGGAGACACATACAAGGGAGAATGAGGAATATGAAATCAGTCTGAAAGGTAACAGCCAATTGAGAACGTAATGAGATAGGTCTTTGACAGAAAAAAGAACAGTTTTCTAAATGTTAATATTTTCAGTGAATTTTTGTTTCTGATTGTATTATACTACATAAATTAATAACAAATATGTATATCCTTGTTTTGGAATGTCATAACTGTTAATGTTCTGTTATTCAAAATTATTTGCAGACAACAAAGTATATAAACAATGAAATACAGTCAGTATAGTTTTCCATAAATAAAATTTGTTGATATTTTTGTGCTAGGTATATTCAAGTCTGTGGATTGCCACACTATGTTCCTGCCAGCAACAAAGAAACAGCTTCTCATAGACTTATCTAAGGTATTGTTTTATATTTTCAAACAGTCTGGCAATACTTTTAGGACAGATGTATGCCTGTTCAAGATAAGGTGATGTGATAATTTTAATTTTGATTTTGAAGATATCAAAAAGTAACTTTAAATTTGTAGGCTGCTGAGGATGAACTTACACAGGAGTACAAAGAGGAAAGAGATGCTTTAAGAGAGAAAATCAAATCAGGAATACAACCCAAAGAAAAGAATGGTACTTTGTTATATATGATAATTTTTGGAAAAATAGCCATAGTGATACAGTGGACTTACACAGTATTTTTTTAAAGATATTAAATATCAAAATTTATACAATTTACCAACTAATTAAGCAAAAAAGTAAATAGCATATCTATGTTCAACATTAAGGAAATGTTCATATTACAATCTAATGTGTCTTATTCTTTTAGGTAGATGGTCATCATATATCATAGTGTTTTTTTTAAACATATTAATAATCAAGTATTCAGTTTTGTTTTTTCCTTAAAATTTTTTTCCAGACAGAGCCATAACTGGCCCTGAGCTTGCATCATTATTGGAAATCTTGGTCAGTGCAGCAAATGAAGGATCTTTGGCATCAGTAAGTATCAGATTATTGTAACATTATTATGTCGTTGAGAGCCCATAAATTGTATTACTCTGTATAGGATTTTTGGTCTTTTGCTATCTATTCTCACAAGTGAAATCAACCTGTTTAGATAATTATGTAAAACACTTTTTCCTGTCATATTTTAAGCCAAATGCAATTCAATGTATTAAAAGAATGTGTTTATCTTGTGGCTCCAGAGATACCATTAATTACATCATTTTGTAATAAGACGGCACCCTACAGTGAAACCTAAAACAGTTTATTTTACTACAACATTGTCATTCATAACACTTTTTTGTCAGCACATGGACTTTCTGTAACTGGTTTGTACACCCAAATCTAAATGAATATTTCACAAACTATCTTGTGAAAACCTTGCCAAGTCTTAGGCATTGCTTCCACACTTATTAAAGCAGTACTTTACTTCATTTCATCTCCAGATCCCTAGTCGTTGGGATGCCTTCATCCAAAGGCTCCAAGATGGCGCCTTAGAGGACTGCACCAGGTTCTATGAAGGTGAGATGCAAGTGCTCAGTGAAATGTATAATAATGGACCAGTCCATCCCAAGGCACAGGAGGTAATAAGACATTATGTTTAAGAGAACTTTGAGAGTTATGGAATAATGTTTATTCTTCACATTGTTTAGATTTACAATTTGTTTGAATCTGTTATACTAGACTTTCAATTAAGACAGTCCAACATCTGTGGGACTTTCATTGTGGTTTCTCATGTTTCAATTGTTCAGAATCTCAGACATAGCATGCAAGGTCATTTTCAGACAAAGAGGAGCTGTATATGTCGTATGAAACATCCGTAACAAAAATATGTCCTTGTCATCTTAAAAGACACAGGTAATACAAGTTTCGTAGCAGATTCAAACTTTGTAAATAGTATCATTTACTGTATATGGATGACTCTTAATCTTTATAAATTTTGTAGTCTTCTAAGTAACTATGCACTTTTAGTGTTTGCTTGTTTCTTTGCACTCTAACTGTAGCTAAGCAGTTATCTTTAATTAAGCCTCTCATTGCTATGACATAGAGAATTACTATATCATATCATAGCATTGCTTCCCTTTTAACATAAAATCACTAGTATGAATAGAAATCTCACTTTTTGTCTTTAATCCAGTTTAAAGAATATGTATCAGTATCTTCTTTGAGTGCAACATCTTTTAGATTTTTTTACACAATTTTCCACTCAGCATTAGTATAGCTTTTCCTTTCACGTAATGCATAGTTTATAGTTTCAGAAGTCGATTTGTTAGTTGCCATCTTTCACTTTCCATGATATTTAACTGCTCATAACCATTCTTCTATCTCTTCTGAAGGAATGGCATGAACAAGTATTCAATAAATCACTCCACCTTCTAGAACAGCTGTTGTTTGGGTAGGTGTAGTGCAAGTAGTGACAGCAGTTTGGAGGTGACGTGGCAGTGAGGATCATGTGTTCAGTTATAGAATGTTTACAGGGTTGTGTTTGGATTTTTTCAAATCAATATGATATCCTGTTTCTCAGTACTTCACAATGATGTAAAGCTTTCAGTGTCTGTATGTATTCAAAATACCAATGTTCCTTTAGTTATAGAAAACAGAATAGCTCTTTTATAGTGGTTATAGCTTTGTCATCTTTTAAAACAACTTTGATGACCAGGTCCATGAGTATTCGATTTTTGTTATCCACATTTGTTTAAATTTTGCGAATTGTGCAGCTAATTACAGTTTGCATATCTTAAAGGCTTGGAGATAGGGTAACAGAAGCATCCAAGGAGCTAGACCACAATATACGCCACAAGTTTGAGAAGAGCAAGGACATGAATGAGAAGAGGATAAAGCTGAAGTGCAGTGAACTTCAGCACAAGGTTGAGGTATGGGTGCATTCAGAGCATGTTGTTTGTGGACTAACAGATCCCTGTGTCAAATATGGCCAACCCACTTGAAAGCTTGCTGCATAATCTCCTAATAGACACTAAATAGATTCCTGGCAGGGATTACACGATAAGGTTTCAAGTGGGTCGGGCATATTTGATTGAATTGGTTTTGAATGCTGCCTATGTCACCCTGAGATTTAGTTTCAAACCTTCCAAAAGCTTCCCAGTACACTTTTTTTGTTGGTCTCTGATAAACTTAAACATAACAGAAATTAAATAGTTTTTATAACCGATTCCCCATCAGTTCACTGTATTCAAAGTAAGGTTATTTCACTCTCTGTCACAGCTTCACTTATCTGTCTCTCATTCAATTTACCAATACATCTGTCCCCACCACTACTTCTTTGAAAACCTCAGAGTATGTACTCAAAAACATTTGGCTATAAAATGATATGATAATGTTAAATTGTTTGATAGTAACTTTTAAGGTTAATCCTTCAGTAACACTCAAATTATCAAGGAATTGCCTGCCATCTTGATATAATAGGTCAGCACATTTAATTTGTTGGTGATTCTGTGCCCTGCATCTCCAGCTATTTTGTAGAGCACAAGTGGATTTAATGTTTAACTTAACAGCAAAATAAAGCATGTGACTTCAATGTGTATCGTTCATCAAACTATATTGTTGTTAACCGCTTTGATTTGTTTTTAAATATCTCAAAGTTCTTGTATTTTGAATGATTTAAATGTAATTAACATGCTTTTTCAAGAAATGACACTGCATAAGTGATAAGTTTTAAGATCGGGATTTTCCATGTTTTCAGCTTGATGCAGAGGAGGCATTGAGCAAAATGAAGCTTCCACTGAAAACATCTGAACTAGAGCACCAGATAGGAGTTCTACATGAGAAATCTCTATCACAGTTCACTGAGAGCATCAAAAACTTCACTCTAGAGGCAGATAGAGCAGACATCATTAAGAGACTGGGGGTATAATGTGAATTTCTTTTAATTGTTTGTGCATTTTTTACCTATCCCAAATTTGTTTAAAACAAGGATTTGTCATTTATGTTTTATTCTGTAGAATTATCCATTTAGCAAATTTTTATAATATAATTTGTGAAAGAATTTTTTTAAAAACGTTTATTTTGGTGATAATGCTTTAAAGTTTTGAATATTTTGGTAAAAAAACAATATCTTCAAACAGCATTTTGTTCTTTCAGAGTTCTATCACTAGTATTGGAGACCGCTTTTTCTTAAAGAACAAGCAGGCTTTGGAAAAGACATTGCATGAAGGAATAGAAAAAGCCATAGGTTAGAGCTCATAATTTTTCTCATATTTATTAGATCAATGTGACACTGCTCCATTGCGTAGTTCTGCTGGCCTGCTTGTAAATGCAACTTTGTATCAATGATTCCCTTTACTATGTTATGAAAAAAATATATTTAACTTTTTATTATATGTAAACGAAATTAATGCTGGACCATCTACCTGGGGCAGACAACTTTGAGAAAAAGGAACAAGAAGTTTTCGCACCCGTCAGACAGTCAGTCCAGCTACTTTTCAAGATGGCTGGACCTTTGGTCCAGCAACTAATTTTCCTAAGTGGCAAACACTGAATTGTATTGTAAACAAAGGATGCTTCTTTGTCAGTTTCTTTGCAGGACAGTTTAAGAAGCTTACTGAAAACAAAGATAGATTTCCAAGAGCTCCAAAGGAAATGTCCCATGTGTTGATTTTTGCCAATGAAGCTGCTGAAAAGGTGATAAATCATTGTGTACGTCCTTGTTTGTGTACAGTAATGTTTCATTCTTTAATTAATCTCATTGTAAGGATTTGTACTTTTATTTATTTGTGTGTTGGTTTAATGGTACCTCATTTCTTTCTTCTGAAGGTATTCCATACTGAATGTGACAAAGCCAGTGAAGAAGATCTATACAAAGTTTACCAAGGCAACCTGAAGGTTTGTCATATTTAAGGGAAGTGCAAGAAGTTAAACTTGCCATAGACGTGAAAGACAAAACAAGTGCTTTGTGTTTCCAATCGAGTTGGTTAGACCTATCTTGCAATAGATTTCAGTGGGATTTGTATGAAGCGCCATTAGCTCCCCATTAGATTAAGTAATTTTTATCCAGTCTACCAATATTTTGCGTAAAGTCATAACCATATAATGTGGTGGCAAATGGTAATTAGACAGCCATCTAAAGCTGGTATGAAGTTAGGTTAATGTAGCTTGACAGCAAATACCACTTTACCAGACATTACCAGACATAATGTCAAACCCATAAATTGTTTGTGGCAAAACCAATTTTCTATATTGGGTCTAGAGTGTTCTCTCATAGAAGAATTGATAATTAATTTTAAATATTTAAAAATGGGAATGAACAAGTTTTTATATCACACTTTAAGTTTAAACATATATGGTCATTTTTAAACAAGTCCTTTTTAAAGACAATAGCAGAATATGTCGTCATTTTAATAAGTTGTATGATAAAATGATATTGTTTTTCAGAATCAACTTGTTGAAGTCTCAAAAGCTTTAGAAAAGGAAAATGATGAATACCTGCATACACAGATCAATGTCAGGGTTGGTCTATTCTTTTGATAGAACTCATGCCATGTTTTCAGTCAAATCAGATATTATCTTGAGAAATATTAGATTATGTCAGCCTTACAGAAAAGTCTGTGATAAGTCCAAGAGAAGCCGTAGTGCAGGTTAAATCATTGCTTCTGCCCAGAAGTTTCTCTGGAAAGAATTCATATTAAACATTTTAAAATTTATATTTGAGCTTTGGATAACTAATTGAAGTACACAAATTGGCTTTTTGTGAAAACATAAAGAAATAGTTTATCATACTCACATTTCATCACAAATTTGGTTGAAAATGAAAAACAAATAATGATTTTGACTATAATAACATTGGCTTGAATTAAAAATGGTGCATAACACTGTCTAAACCTTATTACATCACATCTTCACATTTTCATGAATAGGTGAGAGAACTGCTGTCTTTATTCACTGATTCCACAGATGCTACTATTATGCCACTGCCAGTCAATGACACTGACCTGGAGGAGAGGTGAGGGCTTCCTTTGCCACAGTTAAGGTGTATTAGTTACATTATACTTACCCTCCTATTTACAGTATGTATATTTGGTATTTTATATTAATCCTGATCAGGACAGAATTGTTTTTTTTTCTTTTCTTGTGTTAGTACGTGTATATTTTCACATTGTTTTACTTCATTCCTTTTGCAAATTGGTTTAAAAAAATCCTACTGATTGTATTTTTGTGCTAATGTGTATGTCACAGGTACTCTTCAAATTTTAGGTTATACCAGGAAACTAAGAATTGTGAGACATCTTACAGAGATGAGTTTGATGAATTTTCTACATTTAAGAGTTTTGCAGAAGGAATGATAGAACTCCAGGTGAGGATGCAGCCATAATGGAAGCAAATCAAACTCGTGTACACATTCAAGAGATATTAAAAAGATACCTATTTAGAATGTTGCAACAGTAAAGAAAAACTAATTTGATTTTGGTAAAATAGCACTTTCCGAGAACTTTGTACATTCAGCACAGAGGATTATTCATGTAATAGTTGCACTGTCCCAGTACACTTTCACTGGGTCACATGTAATGCATTGTCACGAGAAACGTTGCTAATAAATACAGCACTTCAGCTTGAAATAAACAAATGTTGTTTCCTTTAACCCAAATTGGCTTCTCTTCCTAAAGTTTGCTCTGGTATTGACTCAAATGAAGTTTCATTTTAATATGTGTTGCTGTTTTTTTCTCATTTCATTAGAGGGGAATTCACAAAATTTGTGGAAAACGTCGTCAAGAAAATGTGGAAGCATTTGCAAGAGAAGTGGAAGCCCCCTTAAGAACAGCCAAGCAGCTGATTGTGCTGTCTGCTGACAAATATGACACTGTGTTTAGTGTGTCTCAGTTTGTAAGTGGAACTTCTATTTTTATACTGTGATTTGTTGTGCACAAATGAAATACCACAGTTGAAATCCACAGATTTATCTTTGAAGAATTAACAAGACAGACTATTGCTATGCCTACACATCTCAATCTCTCTGAACTCTATCAGGAGCATCTTTTTTCAGTCATCTGGAATGTAGTTTTTTATTTGTAATCGCCATGTATTTCCCAGCAAAACAGTATAGTGATTTTATTAAAAGAGAAATTAGGTAAGTCTGTTTTCCTACAGATAAACTTGAAAGTGCTTTATTTTCATATCTTCAGATACGCAAAGTCTGCCTGCTAAATCTTGATGAGGGTAAACCAAAACACTGGCCACTGGATTTAAAGTCCAGCATTATTGACCACTTCATGGAGAGTGACCAGGACATTCAGACTATAATGCTAGAGAAGCAAGGACTGTGGTCGAGCATTGTGGGATTTGTACAGTGGATTATGTGGTTATTAGGACTAAACAGTTGAGGTGTGCTCATTGCTTTAGACTGATTCAATTAATGGTGCTAAAATTTCCATTTTTCTTAGATTAGACCTAGTTTTCAAAAGAGGGTGCTTGTTGTTTCAGTATTAGTAAGTTTCTTTATTTCTGCACTGTAAAAGTGTAGAACTTGCCAAGATAATTTAGTCCTATAGAATTTACATATCCAGCGTAATTGGCCAATAACTGAAGGTTTCCTTTGGGCGAGAAAAAGGTTTTTTGAAAACAAACATATAACATACCTACAAATTTATTGAAATAATTTATATATTGTATCATATATATAAAAAGAGAGGTAGTGAATGAGATGCATTTGATGAGTTTTGGAGGAAATGGAGGGGACGGGTTGAAGTTTATCGAGCATAAGGGGACCTATTCTTCCATGATACTGGTAGCTAACTACATGTGGTAAAGAAAAATTAATCATTTCTGGAGAAACGTGATGCATTATTAACTATGGGGCGTGATGTATTGTCTCTTTAAAAACAATTATTATTACCATCTTTACAGAGTGGACAATGAAGGACTCGTTTTACAACCATTTATTGTGTCACATGTTCCTCTGTCTTGTTATCTGTGATACAGTGGAAAGGGTGCTAAAACAGAGAAACGTTTTTTGCTGGAAAGATCTCAATTATGCAATGGTTTGGAATCAGTTTAATGGTGCAATAAAGTGTGATTTTCAGTTAATTTTCAATTTATTTCAAAACTTACAGACATAAGGGCTGCCTTGTTTTATCGGAATAAGACGAGTTTTGTCATCCATAGCCATTATATGACATACCAGTGTATTTCACTGTGTTTAAATCGTTTCACCTTTGCAAGTTGTAAAAACACTTTCATTTGGACATTCCCCATTTATTTATGATGACATTTATGATGGCAAGAGGCATTTCTTGTCAGGAAATAACTATATGAAGAATCGGCGTTTTGACGAAATAAATTAGGATGAAGTTGATCGGATTTTCAATGCGCTTTCGTTTCTTTTCTCTTAATTCCAAAAGCGCATTGAAAGTCCGATTATGAATTTTCGTGGGAATAATTCACTTTCTAAGCCATTAGGATGTTTAATGTTTATTCTGTATGAAAATTCCTTCGATTTAACGAAATGATATAAAGATGTATAATTTGAGGATAATTTCTTCATTTTATCTGTATAATGCTGTCCACAAAGGAATATTGGCGTGCTGAACGTATTTCCCTTTGTGTTCGAATCCAAATTAGTAGTCCTTTTCAAAGTTGTATGCTCATCACGGACAACCCAAGTGGTGATGCTAAAAAGTATCACAGATTAAAGAAAAATGGACGATAAATCCAATAAAGGTATCTTGTTCAACTGACGTAAGTTCACCATGGGCCATTTCCTAGTTTTAGCACTTTGTGTGAGCTCCGATCCAAGCTGGGGTTGTAATTGTGAACTACCCGAGCGATAAACCAGCAAACTGATACATTGAATGGCTAGATATGAAGTCAACTAGCTGTTGTACCTGCTTGGCCTATTTATTATGTTTTTGGTTCTGGAAGACACCAACTAACAGGTGACTAATCATCTAACTTGCTGTCCTTGATGCCTGGTCGCGCTCACTCGGCCTTCATCACAAACCACGTTTCGGTCACATCTGAGGACAAGGGGTAAGTTGTGAACACTGGTCCTGACATTAAAGTGCGCGTTTTGAGGACGAAATTATTTAAACTGATTCACGATAACCTGCAGCGTGGTCACTGAAATGCATGCAAGCCCGGGTAACACAAGAAACACGGCTTTGGCAAGATTACATTTGGTTGTTACGTTCTTGGCAGTTCTCATGAGCGTGGCCTTTCGTGCATTCTCATTTTCCGTGTGCCTGGACAACTTAGGGTATACGTGATGATACGTAAAATGACGTGCGTATTCTGCAATAGTCTAGGACCTAAGCAGGCCTACTAGGTTTGTTTATACTGAGTGCTCGGTCTACTAGTTTAATTTATAGGTGCGAGATCGGTCTATTAAGTTTGATTACAGCTAAGTTTACTAGGTTAATTTACGAGTTAGAGGTCGTTCTGCTAGGTTAATTAACAGGTAAGAGGTCTGTCTACTAGATTACGCTACAGTCAGGAGTTCGGCCTACAAGCTCCTAGATGCTTTTTAGTTGATTAAGAAATCAGCCAATTAGATAATTTTACGGGTAAATTGCGAACGTGCTAATTATGAATACAGGTAAGTGGTCAACTCTGTGTGGTGGTACCAATATTTTTTGACAAAATCTTGTTATAAAAATACTAATATAAAAGAGGAAATGGTTGCAACTTTCATTCTGTCTGTTATTTTTGTTCGGATACACTTAAAAATGGGGGCATTTTTTTTTTTTTATTATTAAAACAAACATTGTATTGTTTAGGATTTAGTAAGGAAGCAGCGCAAAGATTTATTGGCAAAGGTGAAACATTAAAGTAACAAAAGACATGAGTTGCCTTTATGTTACTGAAATAAATAGTTGATGTGGGCTTTTTTGTTAGAAAATCTACCAGATTAAGTAGATAAAACTAAACTTATATACTAATTATACTAATGAAAGAGGCAAGTTCCAATAGACCTTGAAACTCGGGGCAGCCGTCTGATCGCGGTAGTCTGCATTAATGCCCCGCCCCTTTTAAGTACACATGCCCTTTGAGCGTGTATTTTGTGACTTAGGATAACGGAGGACAACGCTTCGTTTACTTATTTACTTCACAAAAATGATAAGAGGCGAAGCGTGTTAGTTTTGATGTTACTCTGTCTGATAGCCAGACCTTTTGCTCGAGAGGTCACCCGTTCCACTGGCCGACGACTGACTCCTTGACTCTAGGGCAACAGCGTGATAGAATTCTGTCGTTTTTTTATCCATTTCTTCATTAATTTACATTTTTTATATTAAATATTCATTAATTATTTTCTTTTTACAAAATATTCTATAAACTTCCGAAGGGTGGCAGGTTAAACCCTGACTGTATGTATGAACTTACACGTATTTGCTCACATTTTAAATCGTTGAAGAGTTGAATATCCAAAATAGGAAAAAGAAAAAGAAAAAACGCCCGAGGTCTTTTGCTCATTACCCTGACTGGGGTGTTGAAGTTCTTTTCAACTGCCATTGTGCTCGAAGCAAATCGGCGACATCAGCTGTCAGCAGAATAGAATTACAAATAAATTTTGACAAGGTTTTATGTACAAATCTTTAGAACGTTGTCAAATTTTGCGATTATTTCTGAATTACTATGTTGTTCGCCCTATGTAACTCTTACGGAAAACTTAGAAACCAATTGCAAGCGTGTAAATTCTACCTATCAATATATATATATATATATATATATATATATATATATATATATATATATATTATTTAAGATATTGAAACTGTTTGACTCATTTGTTTTATTATATAAAAACGCTGAATGGCAAAATCATAATTGATTTATTAAAAATTATTTTGCATCTATTTTTGTCTTTTTTTTTAATCAGTCTATGCTTGTCAAAGCAGTCCTACCCTAATTTCCAGGACAGCGTTTTCTTTTCAAATCAAACACCTGTATATCTTTTGAACAGGGATTGCTACATTGACTACCTCTATTTTCGGTGCCTGGCAATATAAACATATGATCTATGCAAAGTGTATTACGTTCACTAGTATTTGGCCATTTGCCTTTTTTTTCATGTCAAAGGCAAGAGATGTGCGTACAATGAACGTACGAGACGGCTGTGGTGTGACGGGATACGGTTTCTGCTGTGCGTCGCATGAGAATCATAGCAATAAATCTGTTACATAAGTTTTCAACCAAAAGCACACTTGGGTTACCTTTACATGTGCAAAAAGAGGCGGGAGCTGATTCATCGTCTTTGTTGCGCTACCAACTGAGCCATTGGATAAGATACTTGAGGTGGGGTAATACCTTGCTTTTGCCCAAATTGTGATTTTCGTTTTTTACTCCGTCCTTTGTGTTCCAAAAAAAAACCAATATAAAAAGAACGTTTTTTAATGCTTAAAATGAAGTCACAGGCAGCCAAACGCAGACGTTCCTAGTAGTAATTTAGTATATCGGATGTAAGTAAAAAACTTATTGCACTTATACATTTTTCAGAAGGTTTTCATTATATTTTGCCGGATTTTCTGCATAATGTGATATATATGCATTCGGACCAATTATATATATATATATATATATATATATATATATATATATATAACGGTTCATTTTCACGGTTTATTATAAAAAGCATAAAAATATGAAAGTGCCATCTTCTTCGTTTGTTTGTTGAGTAAGCATCTAGGTCTTCGTATTTTTTTCATTATAGGTGATAACGTACTTTACCTTTACTCCATTCATTAAATACTGTAAATTTGATAACATGCCCTTGGTCAATTGTAACGTGTCTTTATAGTATGTTCCATTTTTGTTTTCCAGGAAAATCGGAAACACTACATCAGAGGACCCGTATTGTTTTCAACAACTGTTACAACATTTGGATCTCTTGTCGACCAGCGGCTACGGCATCGGCAAATAAGGAATAGCGTCACATCCACCGCAATAACTGTACAAGTGAAAACTTTACCCCAACAACCACAGCGCCAACTGCCGAATGACATATCAACCAACACAATGGCTTTCAGCGTTCAAACCTCCACCCAACGAACACAGCGCATTTTACAGTCTAAATTAACAACCTTATTTTGGAAGACCACCCAAATAAAGCCGGATGTTCAACACAACGAACCTACAAAAGCATCACTCAATCCATCCACGATAAGCATAATCATGCACCCCAAGAACTTATTGGACACCTTTAATCACAGCGACACCATATATACATTATGGAACCCAGCGGTTACTACACACACATCACAGCATACATACCATGTTTATACTGTTCTTACTTTCTTGGCCTGTTTAACATTCATCGTGGCGCTATGTCTTCGTGCATGCAAATGGTTGAGGATCGATCTCAAGGAACAGGAACACAAGGAGGACGGACTATACTACGGTCTTCACAAAGTGGTGCTGAAACAACTCTTGAGCGATAAGGATGAACCACTTACAACTGTACAGAAGGGTGGGGCCGATGAGAAAAGCTATATGCACCGCTCAACGCCTGATGATCTTCCCAGCGAATGCAAACACAAAATATCCTTTAAGGTGAAAGAAGAAGAAACTCCTTATGGGGTCGTGAAGGAAGTCGTGTCTGTGAGGAGTTTTAGTGACTACAATGCTGCGCTTGAGAAAAGGAGAAAAGACACTGAAACGCGGGAAAGTGGCATCGATTCACCCCCTGTATTAAAAATCCCTGACCAACATCATCGACAATATAAACAAAAAAAGAAATGCTCAAATAAAATAAAGACGTGTGTTCAAGTAGAATACCACAATAATCAACAACACCAAACGGCACATAACAGTTCCATAGGCAGCATGCCAGACGTTCTTGCAACTTATTCCAATAGTGACTTGGTTCATATGACAGATAAAGTAGAACATAAGCATATGGTCCAAGACGTAGTTATTCTCAACTCTCCTTCCGTGAACAGCAACGTCAGTTTAATGGATACCAATGTTTCACAAAATGTTTCGAACCCCGAGTATTTTGCTTTGATAGATACTTTAGAGACCGAAACGTTACTAGAATGTCTCGATTCTTTAGATTCAGATATTGCTGGCTCTCGAAGCATTGGTGCATCGACGTTAAGTTTAACAGAGGAATTGGAGACCGACATGAACGACTCGGAGCAATTCTCTTCATGGGATGAGTGCATCGACACATGAAGTTGGATAAGACACTAGTCACTAGATATACTGCCTGTGATGTATTTTTCTAATAAAGTCGTGGCAATTTTGTACTGACAGTCGAATCTTTTCTTTCTTTAATATACGTGTATTTACTCGTTCCATAGCAATGGTGTGCAGCAGGTCCATAGGCAACGGGATTCTGAGTTTTGCAAGCACCGTCCTTTCGAATAAAAAAGGCTCTGCACTGAATGAAAATTGGGTCTAGTTTCTGTGAATTTACGTAGGTGTCGCAAAAAGGGTACTTGAATCGTCTATGCGTTTCTCATAATCTGTTATGTATTGACAATGACAAATCTTTAGTCAATTTAGATAGCAAACAACCATCTGACTAGTACAATATTTTGAAATCGTTTATATTGACTTTTGTTTGAGTACAGAGATGGGTACATATGTAAAATTGCTGTGGTAAGCCTACTGTAGGTACTTGTAAAAGGGGTCAGAAGAAGTAGAAAAGTAGACCCCCTCTTCCACGTCAACAGCGACTTCTCTGACAATGAAACGTGCCATAATTCATTACAAATGGTGATATATGTAACGTATGGATATAGAATAGTTATAGAATAGTGAGTAAGCCTTAAGATAAAATGTAATTATTTGCCTTTGTTTTTGCACAAAGAATTTTCATATCAAAAACCAAAATGAAACTTTTTATACTTACAATTTTATTAGTTTATTATTTTTTCGCTTTTTTATACCATAAAAATTATTAGAGTCAAAGAATTTTTTGAAAATGTGAAAAGGACACAAATTAGCCCCTATGTTACTTGAATTTAGTCTGTACGCAATAAATAAATTAAACCAACGGATAAATAAATAAATAATGAAAAAGTCTTGACCCACGGTGCGACGCAGCCCAAGAATTTGATGCAACCAAAATTCAAGTTTTTTTTATTCTGATGCATACAATAACAATAATAAACAAAAAAATTCGAGAAATGTCGGACATGTTGACGGAGGGGGGTCAAGAGGAGATAAAGATGTCACTGTGCATTGGAAGAATGACAAAATTTCGTACATTTTTTTCGACAGTAGCTAAAGAAAAAAATCTACCTGGGTGACTGCTGCAACCGCAGAACGTTACGACAATTTTAGTGCGACGGTGCACTGGGATCGCGACACCGGCGAAATACATGTAGGTTCGATGCTTTTAGTCGTGAAGTATGATTTTCCTAAAATGAAGAATTTCAATAGAATTAACTATCTAATACGTTTGAAAGGTGTTATAAAACACACTCAAATAAGTAACTGTTCAATAAATGGAGTCTTGAGCTATTCAACTCTTTGGCATGAAATGACATCTTAGCTGTAGCCTGACTTGACACGTGCCGGCTGCCTTAAGCCCTTACACGGCATGCCTCCATGCTTGAGCCAGCACCCTCTCAACTTTGATGGAGGAAAGGGGCGAATCTCGGAGTGTCTCACCGCAGAAAATGTTTGCTTAGCCGTAAGTGTCTTTTATTACACTAGCTGCAAGGTTGTTTTGGTCATGTTTGACATTTTGGTTGTGCTGTTCATTAAGATAGTGGTAAAATACTCGAAAATAACCATTCCCAGACTCGATAACTGCGGGTTGTCTGTACTTGTTTTCTTCTGCAATGCCTGTAGTACATAAAACTTGTAAGATTCTGTGAAAACCTCCTGCTTAGGAGCTTTATAACCGGACAAGAATTAATAGAAAGTGCCATAATGTTGTTTTGCTTCTTGAACTCATTATTGCTCAGCAGGAATGAACCTATTAAAAATGTGTAGACTGTAGAATTCCCATTCATATCCCCCCCCCCCCCCCGTTATTTCTTGTTATATAGAAGGAAATGTCATTTTCAGTTGCTGTTAACGCCCCTCTGTGCTGCGTCAGAAATTCTGCAGTTTCATAGATGATGTAAGGTGTTGAGTGGTCCCTCTTTTTGTGAGCAAAATAGGGGGCATTAGAATAGGTATATGCATGTATCAGAATATATCCAATTATCTTTATGTTCATTATTAGAGTATGCTACATGTTTGATATTATCATAGTTCAGTGATTGCCTTTCCCATTGGATGTTAGGACTAGTTCTAGAATTTTCTACACCAAATATGTTACACCACTGTTCAATCATTTTGACATGTGATTTGTTATTTTCCAGTGTAGAAGATGACCACCATCAAGCACATCCTACAGCGGGAGGTGTTCCTGCCCACTGACGAGAGGCTGCTGGGAGTGGTCAGTGTGACCAAAGCTGGAAAGAAAAAGAAAACAAGCTTTCTAAGCATTGCAGGTGAGTAATCACTATCAAAGTACTTAGAATATTTATTGGAATTTTTGGTTGTTTTTTTTCAAGTGATAAAATGTTTTTTTGAAGGCAATCCAAAGTATTCAAAGATATTATAGAAGTATTTGTATATAAAAGTAAATAAGAAATGCATTCTCATATTGTCAAAACTTGATTCATCACAATTCTTTTTTTTAGTGACGACAGAGAAACCTGTGCAAGTGAAGATTTATCAGCTGAAAAAGTCAGAGAAAGGAGAGACTTATAAAAGAAAACAGACATGGGAACTAAGAGAACTTAAAACAGTAGATGGAAAAGATGCAAAGAATGTAAGATATCTAGTAGTTAATTTCTGGTTTGGTGAAAACCATAGTCATATGACATGTAGTTATAAGTTTTGAATAATTTTCTTATAGTAAAAGGAACAAAATTCTCTGTGTTGGAACCCATTCTCTTCTCAGGTCCCTAAAATTTGAACTGGCTGAATTTTTTTTAATTGTCCATTTTGAATGCTTTTCGTTTCCATTCCAGGACACTGCTGAGTTTGATCTTCAGTTTGAGAAGACATACAAATGGGTTGCCAGTCATCCAAGGGAGAGAGACACATTCCTGTCATCTTTGTGGAAAGTATGTTTGATGCAATTTATGAATGTTTACTGTTTGAGTACATTTTGAAAATTATATTTTGTCTGTAGGTAAAATTAGCTACTACATGGAGTGACTGTATGAAAAGTATTTCAGACACTTAAACATTAAATAATGTTTCAGCTGTGTCAGAGGTATCTGAAGCGTGGACCTGTGTTTCTCAATGTGCCAGACTACATAAGGGAAGGTAAGTACCAAAACACACACTTTCTCACTCACACACACACGCACACTCACATGCATGCACACACACACACATCTCTTTAGTCATAAGGTGTAGATTAGCACATGGGTCCTTGCTTGCTTTGTTATCATATTATTAAAGAATCTTTAATAGTGCATTTTTATGCCTAAAACATGATAAGACTGTAAGACTTTTAATTATAATGTGATCTACAAATGTTTAATTTAAAACTTTTGAAAACTTAATTGGCTGAAAGATCTAAATTGGTCAGTTATTAGTTGCAATAAAACATTAATTATTAAGGAAAAAGATTGGTGAGTTCTGTCAAAATTTGGAGAATCTGGGGCCAGCAGTTTTCTGTGTATATCTTTATTATTGTTATTTCAGACAGTCTTGGTGTCACAGATGTCCGTCCCCATGGGGTAGAGGACACTATAGCCGCTGTGGTGGATGAGGATTACCAGGCTATTACTGAGAAGGAAGAAAAGGACCTGGAGACACTGATGAAGCAGTGTGAACATGCCATAAGCAATGCAGAAGCTTTTGCTGAACAGCTGTCAAAAGATTTGTCTGTGTTAGATGGGGTGAGGGTGAAATGCTTTCTGTCTTTGGTATGCTTGTCTAAATTTGAAGATAAGTAAAATGGTTAGCTGGATAGACTGTATAGTTAACAAGTCATGAATAGAGTAGTCCTGCCATTTTATAAGCAGGGCAAATACTTTTGATGGGCTAACTGTGACCAATTGAATGTGAATGAAATATTTGTTACCCTGTAAACAGCTTCCCCACTCTGTATTGAAGAGAAAGTCACTCGAGTCTGGATGCACTGCACCCCTTTGCTACAGTAAGGACTATTGTATTATTTGGATTTGAACTAGCTGCATTTCTGATATCCTCTTTAGAACACTCCCACATATCTGAAAAAAATACAAATCGTAGCAAGATGATTGTCAATTGAAACTTCAAGTCAAAATATGACGTCTTTCAGGCCAACATCCACTCCATCATGGGTTCAGAAGACCAGGTGGTTCAATTAATGAAATTACTAGATGATGGAGTCCGGGAAACAACCAAACTGGAGACCAAGCTCAATAGATATGATGAGTTGTTGGCTGTAGGTTTTTCATCAACATGCACTGGTCATGCATACATATATCTAAACATTGTTTTGTTAAAGGCAGAGTTTTTAGAAATATTTGTCTCATTTCTGGTATTTCGCTTTAAAAACAAATTTAAATTTATTTTCAGATGATACTATTAGACATCTTACTAACTGATGGACTTCTCAGTTATCTGTGCCATAGGCAGTGACTGGCATTATTTTAATATTGGCTTTACAACAGATTATATATAGATAATACTTTATATAGGTGTAAAGATTTTATGTCTGTATTTGCACTGTAGTAGATGTTACAGTTGATGATAACATTTTCCTTATTGTATTTTAGAGTGTGAAGGAACAGATGGAAAGCATGAGGGACAAGGACACTCTGATCCATATCCAGAACAAGAATCATCAATCTCTGATTGACGAACTGGAAAATTTGATTGTAAGTGGTCAATAAGAACTGTTATTTTGTGTTGATGTAGGTATGGTGAAAATGTGTTAAAAAAAGGACAATTGATACAAGGCATATGTAAGCAGTACTTGCAAAAACTTTTCGGAAGGAAGTGAGTAAGGGTCTAAAAAATTGGTTGTCAAATACTTGTCCATGACAAGTGATCCTTGCAAATAAAAAAGTCTTCACCAGCCAATGTAATCTCTTATGGAATTAATTATCTGCTGCAGTTAATGAAAATAATTATTGAAAATTAGCTGTTAAATGCCGCTTTATGAAACAGACTGTTGGTCATCAGTTGGTTTTTGAATAATGTGATATTTTTCTCTTTCATAAATCATTTTGTCCTAGTCCTATATAGTCAAAATGCAGGATTACAGGGGTCTTTTTACCAAGCTAAGACCTTCTGTATAAATTATTTTCAGGGAAGGCTGAACCTGGACCACAAGCATGAGAAGGCTCTGCTAGATGGGGATCTGTCCACACCATCTGGGATCTATGAGAGCACAGAGGCTGCTGAAGAGCTACAGAAGTGCATGGCAGCAGAAATACATCCTGGTGTGTGTACCGGCCACCATGGTCTGCCTCATGACAGACATACTTGCTTAAGCCAAATAATTTTTTATCCAGTTTATGTTGATAATGACACGGAATCATTGAATATTTCAAATAGAGTTTATAAAACATCAAATGCCCAAATAATTTAGATATTTGCATAAATTTTTCTATGCTAGAGGGAGTTTACAATGTAATTTTTGTCAAGAGTCCCAAAATAATTGAATGTACTGCTTCTTACCAAAAACACAATCTTCATATTTTGGCCTAGATAAATTGTTTCAATTCACAGATGTGTCAGCTCCTAGGGCTAAGTGCATATTGTTATATTCCAAAATAACATCTTTAATTAATCTCATCAAAGTTCTTGATTTGACAGACATTGTTAATCATAAACATTTTTATTGTTAACTTTCAGTTCAACAAGATATCAATGGTTTTAATTGTCAATATTTCTTTGGATTATTTGCTCAGTATTTAATTTTTAGCTTTAATGAAGATGCAAGCAGTTCAAGAACAACAAAAAAGGTTTGGAAAATACAGAGTTGCTTTTGCCAAGAGACTTTCCCATCACCTGAACAACCTATTTATACACCAGGTAACCTTCTTGTCATAAAGTGGACGATCTTTATATCAAATAAACATTGTTTCAGTATATTATAAATCCATAATTGTTGGAAATAGTCATTTTATGTCCATCACATTTTGCATATCTTTCATAATACTTCTATAGAACTACATAATACATATACACCATTTGTAAAACTTAATTTTACATAACTTTTTATATTGTAGACAGATTTTGTTCAGTGCTGACAAAAGAAGTGGTTGGTTTTACCACTTTATTTAGTAGAATATAGGAATATTTCCTTTACATTCATTCCAGAGTTCATATTCATGTATTAGTTTTTCAAACATTTATTTAGGGTAATGAGATGAGTGAGACATTGAGCAGACATGCCACAGATCTGAAGCTTCCTCCACACCATTCCTGTCACCGAGATTTGACGCCATATGCTGAACTCATGATGTGGCTGAAGGAGGCTGATCCACAAAGTTTTCAGCAGCTGGCCAAGGTATGGTGGCTGGGTCTCATAAATGAGAAAAATTGTTGGAAAATTGTGAAAATATTATTCTGTTGATATATGTAGCTGGAAAATGACCAATAGCGATTTTTGTTTTGAGGTGAAGTTGGCCTTTTTCTGGTGTTCTGGTCCATATAAAAAGAAGCTTGATCATAAGAATTGTTGATTAACTTTTTGTGGCATCTGTGAAAAATTAGAGCAAGGTCAGTTTGGCGAAGGTCTGTTCTGCTGCAATTACAAAATCAGATAATTGAAAATGGGATGGCTAAAAAAAATACTGCCTCGCATTTTTGTGTATTGATGGTACAGTTTTTTTAGAAATGATTTTATCAATGCCCTGCCTTTGGAAATAAAACACAATATTTATTCAATGTAAAGGCCATTACTTCATCTTCATGAACAGGTCTACACCAACAATCTCAGCAGATTGTATGACAAGGAAGTAAAAGATTTCTTTGAGCTGGCTAAACAAAGATTTTTACATGCCAAAACTGTAGACAAGAAACATGGAGGTGAGTAGGTTGTTGAGCTCTCAGTATGGTTTATTTATTCATTTGTTATATATTTTTGAAACAAACATTCTATAAATACTATTGCTTGCCATAACTAAAGCTGTTGTGGCAAATGAAAAAAAAAAGATGTATAATTTTGTGTCTCTCAAGATGAAATGTGGATGACACCTGTTTAGAATGAATAATTTAAAAATTGCCAAATGGTAATTCTTAGTTTGATATACTTAACTGATGAAATTTATAAAATGAAAATTTTGAAAAAATGTCTACATGGGTGATTGTTGTTTGACTAATTCCATCCCCAGGTCTCACAGTTCCAAGTCATAGATTTGAGGGTTCAGGTTCTAGCTTGGACAGGGCAATGGAAACCAGCCCAAGAGGAAGAACTGCGTCCCTTCAGAGCCTGGACTCTGCAGATTCCAAGGGGTCATCTCAGGACCTCACACGAGGAAAGTTTGACCAGGTCAGTTAAGTCCACTGTTAATCTTATTCACATGAAACTACTTGTAGAGGGTTAGTGCTTTCATGGCCTTTCAAGAAGCCTACCTTTTATTTGCTGATGCATTCTCATTTTGGCATTTGTATGCTGAAATTTCTTTTTAAAACCACTGGAAATTTATCAAATAATGTGATTGTCAGGATAATTATTAGCAAATAATAATGGCTAAAGTTTGTGATACAAACCCCAGTTTGATGCTTTCAGTAGAGGCCCCAACAGTGTTGACTATTAGAGCAGCTTTAGCTTGCTGTCCAAGTAATCAAAATGAGAACACTTTTGTGGCTTTCCCAGCATAAATCCTGAGTTGGCCACATTGCTGAAAATTAAAAACCAAAACAAATATTTGACACATTTTTTTTTCAAAATGAATTATCCTACGTACTTTGTAAAATATTTTTAAGGTTATGTGAATTAGATCATAGCTTTTTCTTTTATACATTATACATGCATGGTATGATAAAATGTTTTAATTTCAGGTATTTGAGAAGATACTTTGTGAACTGGAACCATTTTGTTTAGCTGAGCAAGATTTTTGTGTCAAGTTTTTCCACCTGACTCTTGATCCTCATTCTGACGATCTGGAGTCAATGCTGGTAAGTGATGTCAAGGAAATATGTTCTATACTAGTTACAGGGGACAATATGAACAGTGGTTAATTTTGACTTAATTCAGCCATGTGATGTAACTCTTTTATAAACTTCTATTTTTCAGATATGATTTTTTTTCTGTTAACCCCAAAAACCAGTGCAATTTTAAACACCATTTGAAATGTTTTTTTCAATCTGTCATTAGTGTCAGATATTATTTTGAATTTACATCCTATATTTATTTTCATCTGAAATCCTTTATGTACACCTAACTGTTTCAAGAGGAAACTGCTTCTTGGTTTGCAGGAAGACCAAACTTCAAAGCATGAGGACACTCACTCCGTTCATTCCCACAGTTCCCAGCATGATGATGACGACATATGGGTGATGAGGCCGCAAAACAAGGCCAAAAGTCTGGCAGAGTAAGTCTTTACATCAAATGTAATGTGTAAGCCAATAAATGTTTGGTATATTGATTTGATTTAACTTTTTGGGCATGTTTTATGTGTAATGGTAAAGATAAGGTTGTAAAGATTATAAGTGTGATTACTAAATTTGTGTTATTGGATTTTGACAGCATGATTTGGAAAATGTGATGGTATTTTGTTGAAATTTATTTGAAGGTGGATAAGAATTCTTTGGGTGGTCTCTAAGATTGCAGGGAGTTAGTTATAATTTGTTGAACAAAATTTCTTTTAAATTTTTTATATCACAAAGTCTAGTGCTACATTTCTCTTGAAAAGTGACATCAGCAGTTATGAAAATTTGGCCTCATTGTTCTCTAGACCCTTTGTTGTATTCCCTCCATTTGCTTAAACCCAGCTTCTTTAAGTACATTTTAAGTTCAATGTGCCCATTATCTGCATTTTAAAATCATTGGAAATATTTTGCATTAAGAAATGCATGTTTTGCTGCAGCATGGATCCTTATTCAGAAAACCAAGTACCAGTGAGGTTTGTGTGTTGTAAACAAATTCTTTTTTAATTCCACACATTTCTGTATTGCACTGCTGTGTGCATCTTTTTGACATTTAACAAAACTGTGTCTACTAGCCACTGCTATTACTACTACAGAAACCATCACTTTAATGCAATGTTGGTGACTTCACTGCTACAACAGGCATTTGAATCACCTTGTATTCAGTGTATGTGCACTGAAGGCAACATGACTGTGTTGGAATTGTTTTGGCTGTTTAAAGGTGACATTGTATGATACAAGACAGGGCTTTGAAAATGATATATGTGAGCTTGAAGTTTCATTAATATAAAATAAAAGTTTTGTACTTGAAAAACTTGTAAAAGCTTGTGTGGTGCATGTACAGGTACATACAAAAACATCAAAAATAGGTATGTGCATGTGTCGATGCAGATAAGCTGCAAATATATATGCACAGGTAATGAACCAATCTTTTGAATGGGCAAAAATTATCAGTTTTTCAGATACATTATTTGGGAATCATTAATAATTGTATTTCTGTATCACATTTTGGTGCTTTCACTGTATAGAACTGTAGGATAGTCTGTTTTTCAGTTACCAGTACCAGTATCAAGTACAAATGTTCCAGTTTATTTATTTATTTATTTTTTTTACTTCAAAAATCATCTGTAAAATTCACCATTTTTCTCAAAAGATTGAGTCATTACATTTGAACATGCAGGCACTAATACACATATGTACAAATGCATGTGCAGTACTGCTCACACTTACAAAGACACAAAAATGCAATTGTGCAGCCCAAGTTATTTTATTAAAACTTTTTTGAAAGTTTTTTTTATTAAAAAATATAATCAAGTGAAAACTTGGAATTCAAGAAGAACATATATCATAATTAAAATGCCCTCTTTCCATCTGCAATGTTTTTGTAACAAAGGCCTTTAAATGCTGTTAATATACTTATGCCTGTAAACTGTCTTGATATAACTTTTGACTGTGAAATTCAACACATAAATTTCCCAGTCTAATCCTTGCTTTTTCATAACCCTTTTATGACTTGTTATTATAGTAACTGATTGTTGTTGTTGTTGTTTTCTAACAATTTTAACACCATCTTTTACAGTTTTAAGAGTTTTTAAAATCACTTCACTTTTTTACAGATTTTTGTTGAATTTTCTTACTTACATATCTTCTGCATATGTTTATATTAGTGACGGCTAAAAGACAGAAGCCAAGAAGTTTATTTTTTCAGTTTTTATATTTTTTAATTAACGTTACTATATTACAGCAGTACTCTTAAGTTAAGAACTCAGTTGAAATAGTCCAATAAATATGTAATTTCTTGATTCATATAAACACATTTGCATAAATACACAGGTTTATATTTATATATAAAAAATGGTACTTATTTTTAGAAAGTTCATTGATCCTTATAAAATTCAATATGTATTTTCAAGAATATGAAATCAAATTGAGTAATTCTCATAGTCCTTTCAGTATTACTTTATGAAATGTCGCATGTGGTATTTATAATCTTTTTGCATGTTATATTTTCTTTTTTATGGTTTAGGAGACAGTTGAATGAAGAAGTCAGGTGAGATTTCCTCAACATGGTTCCCATACTTTCATATTTAAAACAAATATATTTACTAACTTCTACACAACATTCTATTAACAGATTTCACTGAAGGTAAGACATTTGAATACTCTTGGCAGTGTAAATTTGCCTGGCTGTATTTACACATGACATTGCCTATCTGCTTACTTATATGACACCTGCATCATAACTCCAGAATTTTAATTGATATAATCCTGAAATAGTTGAAGATTTTTTCTCTTTAATTTTTTGTACATCTTATCTGTAACCCTATAATACAGACCCTTGTAAAATGGAACAAAAAATGACAGGGCTAGTATCATATTTGGTACTTCATATTTTTTTTACATCAAAGTGTAAGTGGCAAAGTGATGGCAGATGTATTGGACTTTGTTTGGATTGTTAACAGAACTCACAGAATTGTAGGTTGTTTTCATGGGTTTGGTTATAGTTAGGTTTGGAAATTTATCTTTAGTTTTGAAACTGTTTGGTATAGTGGCATGCACCATTCTGTGTATAGATGGATGGATGTCCATTTGGAGTGCAGTGACAGAGTATTATAGGATGGGAGTGTATATTAGAAACGATAAACACATTTTGATATATTTATTTTTACAAGAGCTTGTGATTGATGATTGTATTTAAATTAATGAAAATGTTACAGAAAATAAGACATTTATTTTTTTCTTGCAGGCGGATGATGGGTGAACTGTTCCCCTCCCTTGAATCAGAATTACTGAATTTTATCACTTTTGGAGATAAATTGGATAGTTTGTAAGTCATGTCAGTCATCTTATTTGTGCTTTGTATTTTTAAAGTATTTTCATGTTCAACAAGTCAAAAAAAATCAAAAGATGAAGCATTTATTTGGATGCACATTTGACATCACATGTACATAAACTGCTAGTTTTTTTTTTATCAATGAAACCTATTGTAATAGTAAAGATTTTTTCTGAAACTGGCTTCACATGAGGCTGGAGAGTGGAATTAAAAGAGAAAAACTGATATGAGATAAGAACTGTGTATATTGTTCAACAGCTTTTGGCAACGCGCATTGTATCTGAACTTACTTAACATGTTCATTGTCTGACAATGATAAATTGTGAAAAGACAGAGAAAAAGTTGATGATCCTTTCGTTATTTTACCTATGAATATTAAATTATGCAAGTTATTTCATTTTAGGGAATACCCAACTGATTATGCAAACATGTATGAATAATAAATGCTAAAAGATTACTGTGAACAATCATGTTTATCTGTTGCAGTAATTCCATGTATATGTTGGTCCGTATGAGCCAACATGTCATCCATGCCCAGGATGCTGGTTCCTTCCTGAGCAAAGTGTTCGCCAATGTTCTGGTCAATATTAAAAGAAACTTTGATAGATTCATTGTAAGTATTAATTAATTATTTTGCAAGCATTTATTATTTTGATTTCTTATCGGTTGATATATGATATAACTTAAACAAAATTTTCATCTCACCATAGTGAATAGAGTTTTGAACTAAAGATTTTACTTGTCTGAAAATTGCAATATGAACAAGGTTCTAAAAAATCAAACTGCTTAAGTAAAAGAAAAATTTGGTTGGCTTACATGTAAATCTATTGATCAAAAGTTCAGCTTAAAACTTAAAGGGATCTCCTGCATCCTTAGGTGAATTTTCTTGGTTGTCAAAATAAACAGCCAATTTCAATTGTACACCTATTGTAATAAGATTTACCTCTTGGTCATCAGAAATGGTGTAGAAATAAAAGAAATTTTGAAGTTATTCTTCAATTCTAATTCTCTCCCTCAGTTTCAATTTTTACGTCTTTTATATATTGCAAATTACATTTTTAAAGTAATGATTTTTAATATTGCATGGTTCTAAAATGTGTGACATGATACCTATTGGGTATTTAAAATGTTCATGATTTTCATGTTTTAGTTACACAGAATCAAAGCTGTGGAGGAGTATAGGATTTCTAAGAAGAATAAATGTGGTGTTGTGATGTTTGTACACCACTTTGAGGTAAGGGCTTATTGTAAGTGCGAGAAAGTAAACAATTACCTAATTATAAGTTTGAGGGAATAAAGTGGAAAATGAATTATGTTTTTACAATTTGTAGATTTATTTTTCCATTTCTCTCTGTTTTAACATATTTCCATCCTTTTTTTGTATGATATAAGTAATTTTTTTCTAACTTTGAAAATTTGCATCCATTCCCATGACCATATGTTTGAAGTTGGAACTTATCATATTTATTTATTTATTTATTTATTTATTTATTTATTTATTTATTTATTTATTTATTCAGGATTTTGCCCACCAGGCAGAGGCTATATTCCAAGGTTCAGACAGGAGAGCTGACCTTGATAAAGCTTACAGCAAACTCATCAGAACTGTCTTTGAGCAGCTTCTGAGAATTAGCACAGATCACCCCAAAACTCCCAAAGATGTGGTCCTTATGGGTAAGAAAACAGGGCATTGCTGTTTGGTTCTTTGTGAATTTGAATTATGTTACCTTTAACAGGTCACAGCAGTCTTGAAACAGTCTATGAACATTTGCCTCAATGGATAAAGTATTGAAAAATAATTAATTTTAATTTCAAGGCAATAAATACCACATATTGATTATAATAATATGAAATATACCCGATCTTGCTCATAATTTATTAGTTTTATATAAATTTATAATTTAATTTGATGATAATGTTTAAGAATAAGCTTTAGTACATTTTCACTGTGATAAGAAAAATGATACATCTGTTTTAAATTATTTTTTCTTCAGAAAATTATCACCATTTGTATGCCACATTATCCCAGTTAAAGATCAGCTGTTTGGAAAAAGAGCGTAAAGATGCCAGACAGAGGTACCAAGAGCACCTGCAGGCCTATGTGACGACTTACCTGGGGAGGCCCTTGGAGAAACTCAATGTAAGAAGACAGAGAGTGAAATGAAATATATTTTAAAACTGAATTTTTGTTAAATACTGTGTATTTTTGTAAATCAGATTTTTTTGTTCAAGTTCATAAAAGAAAATTTATGATTTTATTTTATGGGCGATTTTTACAGAATGTAGAAAAGCGGAAATATCAAGATGACTCAATTTTGTTAGCTCTGTGTTGTACTTGATTTCATTACTTCAGAATAGTTACATGCTTTTATTCAAGTGTTAAATTAACAAATAAGACAGTTGTGTGTCCCTCTTTTCCACCCCAATACAAGACATAATTGTTAATAATATTTGTGTTGAAATACAGTGAGTGATGCTCAGACACTCTTTGTGCTTGCAGACATTTTTTGAAGGTATTGAGAGCAAGGTGGCCTCAGGAGTAAAGGAAGATGAGGTGGGGTACCAGCTGGCCTACAGCAAACAAGAACTGAGAAAAGTCATCAAAGAATATCCTGGGAAAGAGGTAAGGGATAGAGAGTTATCTTTTTAACACACAGTCGTCATTGTAACATCTCAAAAAATTATGAGTAGCAATGGAAATTAATTTAACTTCATAACATGAGTATTTGCGAGTTATGAAAATTGATGAATATTTAAAATGTTTAATGTAGCTGTGACAGAGGGGTTTAAAATTTGTGAAAAATCACAACTGTTACATCTTATTGGGATATAACGTGTGAAAAGGAATCTAGATCTATAATAAATGGCAATAATATCAAGAAAAAAATTGTTAGGTTTGGACTTTTCCTGATTGATGTGTGCTAACTTAGATATTTCAGCCAGCTGTGCAGAGTGTAAATTTTACTTTTTTAGGTAAAGAAGAATTTGGAACATTTGAGAAAGAAGGTTGAAAAGCACTTATGTGAAGAAGAGAACTTATTTCAGGTAAATTTTTTTGACATAATTGAAAATTTATTGATAAATATAATGGATTATGAGCAGGCCAGTTGAAAAAAACTCAGGCCAAAATTATAATCAAGTACCTAGAAAAGGTCATTCATAAAAATTTTAACATTTTTGTCCTCATTAAGAATAATCACATTGTTTTTTTTTTCAATCCAGGTTGTATGGCATTCAATGCAGGATGAGTTTCTCAAGCAGTACAAGCATTTTGAACACCTGATTGCCAAGTGTTACCCAGCCTCTAACATCACCCTGGAGTTTAGTGTTGAAGACATTCTGCAGTTCTTCACAGACATTGCACAGGCTTAGATATATGTACACGTCTACTCATCATTGATAATAGTATGTCGGTTATTCCAGTTTTTTATTGTTCCTTGTTAACAATACACTACTGTTTTCTTTGCTATGACATTGAACAGGTTTAGTCACTTCAGAAGACTGAAGATATTTTACGGAAACGAATTTGAATGAACAGTGTTTTCATACCCATCATGAACATACTTGGAGAAATTTCAAATTTTGGGAACCACTTTAAAGTTCACAACAATTGGACATTTATACACAGTGTGCACATTTGTAGCAGATCAACAACTAGGTGACATTCTTGCCACCAAGAGTTGACAGATGGTTGAAATATCTTATGTAAGAGCATTTCCTGTCAAATATTACTCCAGCTTCAGGACTATTTACTTTCTGTAAAATCTCTTGTGTAAAAGCCCAGCTTTCAGTCTTGAGCAACTTGATTTAAATAACATCACAAACTGAAGATCTACATGTATCAGTGTCTTATCGTGCAATTATGATAATAACAATGGTGCTATGTCTTGCTGCATGTGTCCATTTCAACACATGGTTGAAATTGAAAATTTAATCATAAAATATGTACAGTACGTAGTACAATGAATATGTAGTGCTGTAAAACGTGAAGCCATTGGTTAAATAAAGAAATTGTTGCAAAATGAAATTTCTGGTCTAATTGTTGACAGTTTTTTTAAGCACTTTAGTTTCTAATTTTTGGAAGTGAAGGGCTGAGTAAGAGAGTGACATAATGCACAAATCCTGTTGTTTGTCACGTCAAAAAAAATTCTACAATAATTATATTGCAATTATCAAAGTTTTCAACATAAATGTGAAATGCAAAATGACTGTCCTTGGTACATCATATGAATTGGGTAAGTACTTAATGAACATGCTTCCATGAGGGCAAAATCTTAAAATACAATTGTTTACTTTTAGATAAATTACTATTATTATTATTATATATCACTATACACTTAAATAAGTTATCAGTTGCATTTTATGCCGAGTTGATAAATTAAGAGAAAATGAAGAACTAAAGGCTACAACTGTACAAGCTGCCTTCTTTCCTTAATCATTTATATATTAAATATCTTTACCATTTAACAGAAAGATTAGAACATGGATATCCAATTTAATTTTCAAAACACAGGTTTTGACAAATGAAGCACTATTTTCTTCCATCATTTTAAATCAACATTTTTCACCTACTATTCCATAGTAAGGGTAATAAATAACAGACAAAATTATCAGCCTCAACCTCAGTTTATGTGGAAATTGCCTCTTTATCATCAGTCAGCAAAGAACCTGCTAAAAATGGCATGAGAGGAAGAGTATGTATCTATATCTTCAAGATAACTGATATAAGATTCAGTGATTTTAAAGAAAAACTATGTATCCTGTCCTTGAAAACTGTTACTCCTACTCGGCAGCTGTGGAGAGCTGAAACTGAGATCTGCTGCTGTGAAGCGACTGTTTGGAGTCGATACATGTCCAGCAGTAAATGCCTTGGCTGGTGCTGATTGGCTGAGAAAGTCCAATCTTCTAGCTCTTGATGGACTGGGCCACCTAAAGCGAGAGAGACAAACCATGACATAATAAACATTTATGCCTACTTTATGACCTGAAGACTTCTTAGAAACCAGTGCACTGCTTCATGTGCAGAGATCGCAATCTATGTTTTTGCTGAAATCACTGACCCAATTATGTATAAATCTACCCCCCCCCCCCAAAAAAAAAAACATATACACATACGTCAAGATTACCTTTCTTTCACATCATCATCAAATGACTGCACAAGTTTCTTCCACTTTAGTACATGTGGAAAGTCTCTTCTCTTTATCACAGCATTTTGAATAGCCCTGTAAACATCCATGTCTTCCTTTGTTGGACGAACTCTAAAAATACAAAAAATAGGTGATAATAAAATGCAGTTTTTACAAATGCTGCACTCCTTCGTCAAAACCACTTCCTTCAAAAAGTCTAATGAATTTTTTTCAATTCATTTTTGATAACAAGTAATTGAAAAGTAATCCAATCATTGCAATGACAGAATATGACATCAGCAACTCTTTTACACGAACAAAGCACACCTGAATTGCCACTTAAAATACTTTCCTGAGGGAATCCCCAAAAAAGGAACACATCTCTGGGTAGACATAAACTTCAACTTCCCCCAAATTTTGATGTTAATGTTGACCATACTAGGAAAAAAATTGAATAAGAACATTAAAAGACATGAAGGAAGACCGAAAAAGACCTACCCATGTATAAAAACAGGTCTTGCAGCACTGTATAAATCAGGAGAGTCACTATCACTATCTGATCGGTCCAAATCCTTCACATCCTCTTCCTCCTCGACAGTCCTTTCTCCATCCTCAACAATATCATCTGGAGGTGGTGGTGGTGGTGCAGACTTTCTCCTCAAAAATCCGGGGACAGGGATATAACTAGTCATGCTCCACAAAGCACCAAAAAGTTTAGAAACTTTTGATGGATTGGAAAGAGAAACCTGACCACTTTCCGAAATCTCAGTCGTTGCGAAAGACACTCCTCTTGCTTCATTTTTACTAGCTACTGTGATCTTTGATTCATCTTTCAAGTTTTCCTTCTCCTCTAGATTTGTAAATTTAGATAGGGAATCATTTGAGCTGGTTATTTTCACAGCAGGTGACGCTGAAAGATTATTTTGAGTAGAATATCTTCCAGAGTTATCAGAGCTATTACTCAAGTCCAAGTTTATTCTGGAAAATTTCTCAGTCATAGAGTTTAGAGCCCTTTCATACTCTGCTGAATCATTGAGAATGTGTTTAGATTTCCCTTTACTCATGTCACCATCAACAACATCCATTTCATTTTTGAAGTCTTGTTTATCAGCTGCAAATAGATTGACACTTATTCCATCAAGATCTGGTCTTGCATTTCGATCAACAAAACCATCTCGTTGTATGGATTTACTACCAACAGGTGACCACAGTGCAGGGGATTCATTTAAACTCATCTCACTGGTCAGTTCCATCAAGGCATCAACATCATCTGGTATTTGCTGGGATTTCTTGATAAGATACTCCTCTAACAATCTTAAGCCTTCTGGTGAAGAAATATTCACATTCTTATCAAGGAAATTCCAATATTCAGTCCATGGCACTCCAAGCTCTATAGCTAGGTCTCTGAAATGCCAAACAAATGTCACTTATTGATTTTTTTCAAAGAGGTTCAATCAAAATGGTAAAACTATCCATCTAAAGTGAACTAAAACCATTTTATGTAAGATCTTATTGAAAAATACATTGAAAATCTTTGTCTACCATAATTCTTGTTCTTCAAAATATCAAAATATTTTGTACAATACCGGGTAGTCCCACAATAATATGAAGATGCATTAATTATCTTACAACTAAGTGTATCTAGCTGTGGCCGAGGCTCTGAGAGACACACTTGTCAAGTGAAAAAATCTACAAACAGTACCGCTTAACATTTAATGAAGAATGAATTCTAATAATAACTACTTTTTGTAGAAAAATTGAAATTTGGCACCTCCCAATTCTTTCCATTCCCTTATCACCATCACCCCGCTTAATCTGAAAATATTTCTTCCTTCCACCTGATGAAGGGGTGCTCCATTTTCTTCTAAAAAGTTCTGCCTAAATTAAAGAAAAATCTTCAATATATACTATAAACAACAGTAACACTGCAAAACAAAAAAATGACTATGAACTCAATGAATAGTGTGTAATTTTTTTTTATTACTCATAACTAATTAAGATATTTACTTTCCCAACAGATTCTAACCATAGTCTTATAGATAACCTGACCCAACTTAATATTAC